GGTGTTAACTTTATATAAAGACTTGGACAGCATGCCATCAAGGCAAGGCAGAGTCCTCTGTAAGCTTGTTCCATGAACACAGGCCATATCACTCTGGATACTCAGCCTCTCTCCAAAAGGAAAAAAAGAAAAAGAAAGCAGAGGGACTCAGTCCATGTGTTGCACCAGTCACATGTGCTCCATTGGCCTACTAAATGCTGTAATTCGCCTCTGTGCTGGATCCAAACCGCAGCACAATAACAAAGCACAAACCCTCATCTTTTATCATCTTACATGTGCCAGGAAACCCCGAGAAAGCCGAGAGGCCGCAAAGTAGGACAGCATGGAAACTACGCCATACTCCTGACCATGAACTCTATTTAGGCTGGATAAAGAAAGGTTTTATCTGTTTTATTTTTTCAGAACTAGATTAAAAGAGGGAGTTGGCTCAGTCGCGCAATGCAATGATGCAATAGTCGTGGAATGACATGAAAGTTTTTTTTGTTTCTTTCTTTCTTCCTCTTTTCAAAAATGTACACGTGTTAAAATGAAGCTGCTCGCAGTGCCACTTTTCTATTTCTGCATGACCGCCTCGTTTCTTTGTTACGGCGGGGCGAGGATTTATTTTGGTGGTGTTCTGATTCTGCCTTCCTCGTCAGCGGCAGTGGTGCGCCTCATTCCCTCCTCTCCACCCACCCCAGGACAGATGTGACCTACATTCTTAGCTGGCATAGAGACCCAGTGTGTGCGCCAACCAATTGGCAGCGACCTCTGCGCAGCAAAGCGCAGCGCTGCTTCGCCGCAGACTACGAGCTTCCGCAGATTGCATAATCTGCCCCTTTCTTTAATCCATTTGTTATTTATTTAATTAATTTATTATGCAACCTGGAACCTTTGTTTAACACACCGCATATACACTGTGGCCACAGCGTGACCCCCAAACTGCGTGAAATCCCTTTAAGGCACGCATCGCTCCGCTGAGGACGGGGAAGCCGACCCACAGCAAAAACCTGAAATCATTTTTGTTTCTCTTTCTAAATCTGCTGTTTATACCATGCAGTGTGTAAAAACACCCGCACGCTGCTGGAGCGGAGATCTGGAAGAGAACAACGGGTACGATGCCCACGTGCTGTGTAAACCGCACAAAGCTGTATGGGGAGATGAAGCCAAGGTGACTTTCTCTTTCAAAACAAACCCAAGCCGTAGAGTTACTTGTTACTAGCCGTAGAGTTACTAGTGCCTGAATTCAGCCCCCGCTCTAGTTGAGGAATGTTGCGGCTTCAGCCGGTGCTGACCTGCGGTGAAGCGCGGCTCATGTTCAACGTTATAATATCCTGATGTGTATTTACACCAGGCGGACCCACGGAAGACCCAGAAATAAATAAATCTGAGCCAGTGAGCAGCCCAGTGAGAGAAACATGTCCCCCCACACTCCTCCTTTGTTGGACCGTCTAACAAATCGTGTTCGTGCACAGCGGATTCTCGGTCATCTTAGGAAAAGCGTGTATCCCAACTCTGCCGCAAAATTTACCCACCGCCTCAAAATTGCCTTCCAAGCGAAACTCGACAAGCTTTCCACGCGCTGCCATATTTACGAAAAATAAGCACGCGTCTATTGTAGCTGTCTGCCGAGCTACTGAGGAACACCAAGAAACATCTGACCCACATTTGATCCAGATGTTCTGATCCACACACACACATACATACACGCGCGCCTCACCTCGCACTCGGCTGCACTCATCGGAGCCCGTGAACTTCACCATTCCTCAAACGCGATCCACGCTGGCTCCCATCAGTCCGAGCCGGGGTTGTAAACAAAGGAGAGACAAGCAGAGCCGAGCGTCCGCGCGTATCCACGCGATCATGCCTCGATCACGCGTGTCGGTGTGCTCCGGTTTGTATTGTGCTTGCTTCAGACTAATACGAGCCTACGGGCCACTAAAGGGTTAAGGAGGGCTGCACAGCCGCGTTAACCTTTACAAAGAGCTGCTACACGTGACAGAGAGAAGTGTGTCCTCGGAGCCTGCATGGGATTTTTCCAGCTGTCTGCACGGACTAGCCTACTAACCCAAAAGAAAGCGAGGACAGATTTGTAGCTGCTCCAGAGCCCCGCAGCACGTAAACCCGACTCTTATTCACGCAGCTTATGCAAAAACAACAACAACAACAACAATAATAATTATTGTGAATAATTATTTTTTTATTATTATTATTATTATTATTATTATTATTATTATTATTATTATTATTATTATTATTATTATAAGACCAAAAAGAAGGGTGTATAAGCTGGTGGAGTTCCCATTAATATCAAGTATTAGCCTATATATTTATTATTATCAGCCTATTTATAGGTCTGGTAATAATAACTGTTATTAAATATGATATAACTGCACCATGTATTCAGGTTAAATAACAATTACGTGAGCCACGTGTGTTACGAAAGCAGGTGTGCGGGTTAAGCACAGCAGATTGGCTCCTAAAAGCACCACAACAAACCATGAATATTCAATTTGGGCATGCGCGCTAAGAAGCGGATGCGTTGACCCTGCCTACAACTCCGCTCCACGGCGGGCTGTCCGCACTCACCTGCCCCTGCTACCACCAAGCAGCCGCACCTTTTTTTTCTTTCTTTCTGAAGGAATCCCATAATCTTTTTGCAAAGCCCCCCGATCCCCCACACCGACTTCCTCCCATCCGCTTCCTCTCTCTGACACAGATCCTCATATAGCTCCATACACTCTCAAGGAGGCGGGGTACAGCCTCGCCTTGACATTGAGGCGAACACATCCAGGCACCAAAACAAATTGTAAACGCGGCGACCAGCTGCTCAGAGGAAAAAAGCAACTCAAGAATATATATATATATATATATATATATATATATATATATGCTCTGATCCACACACACATACATGTATTGGGCATGTATGCACCAGTCAATAACAACAACTTACCTTTTTGCTTTAAAAGCGACAGGATCCACACACAGTCCGGCTCCTGCCCAACAGTCCGCTTTGCTGGCTCTGTCTCTCTCTCCTTACAGTATCTCCCTCTCTCTGTCACACACACACGCCGTTTGCCACTTTGAAAACACCAGCTCTCCCGATTAGTGCAGGTATATGCGAGAGTGAGAACACAGTGCCTTGTTTTGAGCGCGCTCCTCATGTCATGTTTGCTCCAATTCCTCCCTCCCTCCAACTCTCTCTCTCTCTCTCTCTTTCGCTCTCTCGCTCTCCCTCCGTGTGTGTGTGTGTCTCTGAATGTATGTTAGTAGGTCAGTTGTTGCATAACAGGACGCTTTGGGTGCCTAGTCACGTTTTTTTGTTTCTCTCTCGGATGTGGCCCCCTCCCTGTCTCTTTCTTCTTGCCTTCAAATCCTGTTTGGGGTGGGGGTGGGGTGGGGTCAGGGGGAGGAGACAGGTCCAGTAGGGGAGGGACTATGCTCAAAGGCAATTTCAGCCAGATGAGGGCATATGATACCCATAATGAGATTGCTAGATATTGAAAAAGCACACACACACAGACATGCTGGTCCGGGGAAATCAGAGTCGCATCCTCTATGCAGATACCCAACTTGACATGCCTGCCACGCAGCTTCTTGAGTGTGCTAGTCAACCTGCTTTTAAAAGTGAAAAGATCAATTTGACATTTCAGCTGAGCCCGACAACACTGACAACACCAAAGCTTCAGCAGCTGGGCAGTTTGGCTTTAACGTTGTAATTTGCACTGTTGCCCCATTTTAACCATACACCACAACCTTCTATGTAACCTGATGTGCACCTCCTGAGAAACGTAACTACACGTGTACCGCATAACACAGGTGTGGGCAACTCCAGGCCTCGAGGTTTTAGATGTCACCCTGGGTCAACACACCTGAATCAAATGATGAGTTCATTACCAGGCCACTGGAGAACTTCAAGACATGTTGAGGAGGTCATTTAGTCATTTAAATCAGCTGTGTTGGATCAAGGACACATCTAAACCTGAAGGACACTGACCCTTGAGGCCTGAAGTTTCCCACCCCTGGCATAACGCAACAACTTGAATAGTGTGGGAGGTTGGATAAAAGGAGTTTCCAGTTACTATGTAAGTTAGGACGACTGGAAATGAAGGGGCACCCATCCTACATGGGATCTGCAAAAGTACCCTACATGGCTTCTTACTGAGCACTGGGAAGCACAAGAACTGTGAGAAGTACAGTTTTTGGATGTAATATTCTTGAACATTTGAATATTTCCTCTTTGTATTATTTTATATCAACTTTTCACTCCATTTCCAAGTAGGATGCTTTAGAGCAGGGAAACACATTTTATATTGAAGACTACATAAATTTGATCTTAAGTGAATCTTCCCATCCTGTCTGCATAAAGACATTTACCTACGCATGTAATCCCAAAGCTAGAAGTGCAGTTCCAACAGCGTGTCCTAGATTTCCCACATGATATAGAAATAGTGCTGTAGTGAGTGAAAAAAATCTCAAAATCTAAATGATAAGAAATTGATGTGTAAAATTATAGAAAAAAATTGTGGTAGCTCACATTTTTTTGTTTGTGTACCCAGTGTAGAAAAACTGAAATTTCTTCAATCACTGGTGAAAAAACAGGAACTTCTCTGGTATTTAATGTTTAGTTATTACTTAATTTCTGTGGTGGGGCATGAATAGCCAAAAAAAGCTGTCAAATTTAAATTTAAAATACATTTAAAAGTACATAAAGTTATGTCTTCTCTCACATTTTCCAACGCCATCCAGTGGGCCGAGTTTTTGGCGGGCTCATTTTGACCCCCAGGCCTTTTGTTTGATACCAGTGTTTTAGAGGCTATGAATACATGATATAAGTCAGCTTTAGAAATATCTAATTATTTAATCTTGTGTAAATCTTGGCAGTTCTTGCTGACATTAACATAAAAAACAGATATCTGAGAGGTAAAGCAGCATGACATTAAAAAATCTCTTAAAAAACAAGTACCAGTTTCTCCCACAGGAACTTACTTCAGTACTTTGAGGTCATGCTCGTGTATTTCTACCTCGGTGCACATTTGAATATAGCGTTTTAAATGTAATCCAACACAAAATAAATCAAAGTTGACTTTCAGTAAAAAAGGCAGAGGTATTTCCAGTCTGCTGGTGCAAACTCAAACTGGAAATATGATTTAATTGAGGAAAAAACAATGATAAAAATAATGTCTTTCATTTTTCAAGTTCAGGCAACACGTGACGTGTGTGCGGCACGTGCTGCCTCTTTGGCCTCCAGCTACCTCGCCGATGGGGCAGTTTTGACTTCTTTTGTTGTCACTCAGGGAAGAACTTTTGGGCAAACCTGTGCGTGACCTTTAGAGGAAACCATGGACATTTTAGTCAGTGTTGCAAGTGGACGAACGCAAGTGAAAATCTTTAGTTTTGTTATGTTGGAGGTGTTTCCTGGCAGTCACGGTTCTTGCATTCGCAGAACTGCGCCGCGTACAGTATGTTCCCAAACGACTGTGCTCAATAATCCAGTCAAACCAGCTCACCTGGACTCATTGTAAGCATGTTGTGTAATTTTGATTAGTCCTCACCGCAAGCAGGAATGTGTGTCATGCTCAGAGGTGTAAAGTCTGGAGGAGGCTCAAACAAAGAGGAGAACAGTTAAGCTATTTGGTTCATCTTACTTCTCCACTTTAAACAACGCCCATTTGGTTTGGCTTATGAGTGGGCTGAATGGATACCTGTCAGTGTGGCATGCAGGGGGACTGGATCAGAGACAGACTCACACCAGGAAGTGTGACTAACGTACTGGATGGGACTAATCAGCAATGTAATTGAGTTGTGATTTACAAAGACAATATATCAAACACTGCAACACCTTAAAACAAACAAACAAACAAACCACCAGCTAGAACTACAAATATACTCACTAGCCTCTTTATTAGGTATACCTGTTCATCCGATTGTTATGCTACAAAAAATTAAGGCCATTCTGAAAACACCCAACTATTACATCCCAGTACTATAGCAAGGTGTACCTGAAAAAGTAGTATTATTTGAAAGTTGAAACCCACCCAAAGCAAAACGCAGGAACAGAAGCACATTTCCCATTGTGGTGCATCACCCCTACTTTCAGGAAACACAGTAGCTGCATGTTTCTCTACATCGTTCTGCAGATGTTTTCACTGGGTGACAGGTGAGGAGTGCAGAAATATATTACCAGCGTCCATCTTTGTTTTGCCCATTTTTTTTAAAAAAAAAAGAAAAAATGTTACAAATTGAAAATAAGCATGTATGTGGTAATCTGGGCGTAAAAGCCTGGTGATGTACCCTTTGAATGCAGTTTGGATCATCACCGGAGCACCTCTGTGTGAGATAGCCGTGCTGCAGACACAGTGATGCTTCAGGCTCTAGGTAAAATGTGCATTATCCACAGAGTGATTTAAATTGGCAAAAGATTGCCTGAACGGCTGCCTTAAAGGCTGACTTCTGCTGCGGATGTGTTCATTATCTCCTTTTATCTTCAAGGCTGCGCTCTTCTTTTTTATGTCAGTGTCAAAAAAAGAAAAAGAAAGAAAAAGAATGGTTTGTGTGAGTGTTCACAATGAGAAATTGATCCTCTTTCACTAAAACATGAGGAAATTCCAGCGTATTACTTTAAGAATTGCAAGTTAAATACGTGTCAGTAATCGCAATTAGGCCATCTCTTTTTTCCTCCCCTGGCTTGAAGCATGTGTACGACTTTTCACCTTTTAAATGAGGAATTCCTTTTTTCCCTCTGAGCTCTAGTTTGATAAAAACACACAACCTAAATTGCTGCAACTTTTTGCATTAGATGCTGAGATCCTTTTTCTTTTACCCACATGTTTTCAGATTTGTGAAGCTGCCACACCGCCTTGTCTTTGTTCCAACGCATCATCAGAGGGTAACCCCCTAATGAGAAGCATCATTTTCAACATGTATGAATCACCATTCTTTCGCTTTATCTCCTTCTTCAGCCGGAGGAGACAAACATCACGACGCGAGCAGAGGCACCGGCCGTGAACTTGGGTCCCCCTCCCCCATTCAAACCACACACAGACTCACTCTCTCTCTCTGTCTGTCTGCGCATCACTCCCTCT